TCTTAGAAAAAGAGAAGCTTGTCCTAATTGAGGAAAACAAAGTATTGAAGGTAAGAATTTCTACTCTTGAACAAATTAAAATGCTATTTCTGCTAGTGGAGAAACAGATAGTTTGAAGACTAAATTTGCTAAAACCCAAGATTTTATTTCAAAATTTAATACTGGTAGGGTAACTTTGAATGAAATTTTGAACAAAAATCAGCCGAACTGCGGTCGTACAGGTATAGGACGTAATCAGCTATCTAATGATGTATTGAAACAGAAAGAAGATCCAAAAAGAAAAATCAATTTTGTTAAACAATCCACTGTTTCACAAACTGTTGCGACAGTTGCATCAACTCAGTCATCTCAAAGAAAACGTTTTGTCCCTACCTGTCATTTTTGTCATGCTCCTGGTCATATACGACCTAGGTGTTTTAAGTACTTGAAATTAGTTAAAAGAATAATGGCCCGCTCACCACTTTCCGCTAAAATTGATCATACTTTTGTGTCGTCTCAAAAACCCAAGATAAAGGTTGATTTAGTGAATAAAGCTCAACAAAAAATCTGGGTAAAGAAGTCTGATCTAAATTGTTTATCTGCCATTACTTCTTTAAACTCATGTGATGATAGTACTAACTGTTCCAACAGTTCTGGTGACAAAGCTAGTTTGGGGAATAAAAAACTTGGTAATCTGAATTGTGATAATTTGTATGCGAAAAATAAGTTTATGAATCCAATTCAGCATTCGAGAACTAAGCTTACTGATATTTGTCATCTTTTCATAAGGGGCTTGGTCGAAAAGGGGGTTGTCTCAATTGATTATGTTGCAACGGAGAATGAATTAACTGATGCTTTTGCAAAAACCCTTCATGCACAGAAATTTGATTCCTTGCGAAAATCGCTGGGAATTTATGTTGTTTAATCTGATGCAGTTGCATGAACTGTTGCAACAGTCTGTGTGTCCAGACTTGCAACTTTTAGAGGTAGGACACTTCATATGTTTTTGCATCTCATATAGGACCTGCATTAAGCATACTGCATATGATTGAGACAAATGTGAATTTGATACTTCGTGTATTTTTAAATTTTGTGGGGTAGAACTTCACCAATTCCCAAAATGATTACTTAAAAGGCTCCAACTTATTTATTTCTCTGAATAGTCTTGTCATGGTTGGATGTTTTTATAGGGAAAAGCTGCCTCTTTTAATGAGTGAAAGCTACTCTTGAACTACTGTTACTAATATATATATCTACAACCATTTGGTCAGTGAATAGTTCGAAGCCTTTTTGAGTCGAGCCAGTAAATCACGTGGCCGAAAGCTCGCTACAAGGCTAATTAGAAAGCCCAGGGGACTACACATTGCACGGCCAATATAAATTATATATATATGGTCAGTGAATAGTTCGAAGCCTAGTTGAGTCGAGCCAGTAAACCACTTGACCGAACACTTACTACAAAGCTCAATTAGAAAGCCCAGGGGACTACACATTGCACGACCACCATAATCTCGTTCCTTTTATTTGCTCTGTTTTTCATGAGAAAAAGCTACCATTAGACGTGTGTGTACGCTACCTAATAAGAGCATCTTTGTGTTTGACTTGGGATTATTAAGTTTGTTGGTTGCATTGGCAGTCGGATTTTTGGGGATTGCGCTTATCGTGAATGTGAAGATAAATCCCATATGTTTTGTTTGTCCATGCAGTATCCTATTCACATATGTCTCTTCACTCATGTCTATTTCTCATGTTTAATTTTTGTACTGCATTAGGCATTTAAAAAAAAAAAAAAAAAAAAAGGAGAGAGAGAGACGGGATTTTTGTTTATGTGCCGGTTAAATTTGATTTGTTTTGTTGCAACCGGATCGATTGGGCTTACTCCTCACATTTCCACGTTTCTTATGAAGTTTGGCAAAGTCTGTAGTCTTTGCTATTTAATGTTGGATTTGATATCACTATCCTTTGATTTTCGCATTGCAATTATCGTGTGGTATTGAGTTTTTGAGTTTGTGATTTTGTTTGCAAGTTGTGTATGGTGACTCTTCTCACTTACTTCCAAGATTCTCTCTTCGTTTGATTTTTTTGTTAAGTGTTTGAACAGATTGCTCGACACATCAAGATCACTAGTCCATGTTGAGTTATCTATGCATGGTGATTGCCCAGAAAGGGGGAGAAAAGAACAGTAACGATGGCATGAACACAGGGAGAGTTCCGACAACTGTTGCGACAGTGCATCAGACAGTTGCTGAAACAGTGCATGAATGCAGGGGGAGTTCAGACAGCTGTTGAGACAATGCATCATACAGTTGTTGGAATAGTGCAGAAATCCATGACAAATACTGATGAATTCATTATAAAGGGAAGTTGATTCTGCTACTGCATATTTTCTATTGTTCTTTATTTGTTGAGTTCAAACCACTGACTTTCTCTGAACTGTTTGATAAACTGTTGCAACAGTTTATATTTGTAGACGTTATTTTGAATTTGCTGACCCTTGTTCATGCATATATCATATATTTAGGGGGAGTAAATGTTCTGACCAATCAATGCCAAAGGGGGAGAGTGTTAGAATCTCGGTGGGATTCTAAGTCCACAACACCAAGTGGAATTCTATGGAGATGTGTATTAATATGAGGAACATATTTTCCTTAGTTATCTCATTAGATAATTTGAGAAGAAATAAATTATCTCTCCATATTAATCACCTGAACGTGTCTATCCAAAATAGAAGGAATTCCATCTTTTTATTATTATTGTGGTAATTGTCATTAATTGGTTTCCTTGTTTGATTTCTCCAGAGCTTCACAAGAATATAAAAGGATGAGCTAATGCCGACGTTATTTGCTGAGTCTCTTATCACGTGGATAATTTACCACGTTGTCATCCACCGCCTTCCAAGTCTATCAAGCCGAGTAAGCAAAGGGGAAGAATGAATGCATTTACAAGAGGAGCTGCCTAAGGATCATTCACAGAAGGAGATACACATGCAGGGGGAGCTGACTCCGTTGTGAACCACCTGCCGAAGCCACTACTGTGGGAACAGTTGCTGAAACTGTGGCACTTACTATTGCAGCAGTTGATGCCACTCTTGTTGTTGAAAAGAGTTGATGATGATCTTTTGTTTTATTTGCTTCGGTCTAATCATCTGATTGTTTTATTTTCAGGTTTTTTACTCAGCGGGAGAAAATAATTATAATCAATAAACGACAAAGGGGGAGATTGTTAGAATCCCATGGATTCTAATTGTACGAGAATTAATAAAACTTGTGCCACAAGTTTTCATATACCATGAGCTAAAGAAGGGAAGAGTCCTTGTAGCTTTTAATTCTTTTAATTTGTCATTAATTGATTTATAATAGGAATTATTCTTCTAAAGAGTTTCCTTGTATTGAAAATATTATTTCCTACGTAATTAAGAGTTTCCTAACCCTAATGGACTCTATTTCCTTGTAGGATTCTTATAACATGTAGAAGTATAAATACAGCAACACGGCGCCTCAGATCTTACGCTTTTTCGTTGGAGAGAAAAATTATATTTTTCTGCTCTTTTTATTGCTGCGCCTGGAACATCTTTTTATCGAGAGAAAATATACAGAGAAAACATTCTTGACTCTCGTTTTTATTGTTCCATCGTGATACGTGATTTTCATAGAAAATATACCGGCTTCAAGGCTTTGTGGTGAAGACATCAAGATTCAAGGAGTATCACAAGTTTGCTTCTTCTATATAAAAAGAAGATCGGTTCTTCGGGAGAGGGTCTTAAATAGATCTCGGGAGGAGATCGATCCGCCGACTGAGGGATTCAGCGTTGAAGGGAGTTCAACCGTGCGGAGCAAGGGACGTGCTGCAAATTGAAGATTTATAATTCAGCGTAGTTTACAAGAACGGCGTCAACAAAGAGGGAGTCTTTGTATTTTGATTAAGTCCTACTATTGTATTCGTAAAACTAAAAATTAGTAAATTTTATTTGCAGGTCCCCGTGGATGTAGGGTACAATTGTATCCGAACCACATTAAATTTGTGTCTCGTTTATTTCTGTTTTTACGAACTGTTTCACGAACTGTTGCAACACTTCACGCAACAGTAACGAAAAACTGAATCTGACACAAATAATTTATATCTGCACGAAATAAATTCTAACAGGAATCAAACCTACAATTTATACTTCGCAATTCCCATCACAGCATTGCTCAAATGCGAAGTTTCTTTTGGGAAAAGATTGATTCTTGAGAAAAGCGCAAAAAAAGAAGAGAAGAAGAAGATGATGATCGGGAATGTTTGTATGCGTGTGGGTGCGCGAGAAAGAGAGAGAGAAGGAGAAGAAAGAGAAAAAACAGGGCCCATAAAATTTGTTCAAATGACCAAAAAAAACCTTCCATTAAGCATGTGCATCGCGTGTGCGTCGGAAAATGAAAAGATTCGTCAGAATATTCCCCTTAGGTGGTTATGTATGTCAAAAGGATGGATTTGGATGCGCACGAGCAACTTTTTTTAGTTAATGTGGCAAAGTGCAAAAAACGAGAAACTATAGGCGTCAAAATGCTATTAACCATAATGGATAATTTAAATTTATGAGGAGGGCTGTTTTAAAGAGAGATTTTCTCTAATAATTTTTTTAAGGGGATTTTCCTTGCATATATTTTTCAAATAGGGGTGCCTTGCTAATTTTCCCTATTGTTAAATATCGGCTCATCCGTTCGGAATTTAAACTCAAAGTTGAAGTCTCCTTTGGGAAGTCGGGAGGAGCTGCCTAGTTGATGACGAAAGTATAAAAACCCATATATTATGACAGTAGCTTTCAAGTTGAGCCAACTAGTTCTATTAAATCATTTATGAAAAAAATAAAATAAAGGTAGTTGTTTTAAATCATAATATTATAATTGTAAAATTAAAGCAATTTGTGGGAAGACTCAGCGGAAGTCTTCTTGGCATGTTAGCACAACAAATACTTATACAGTTTTGTTCCCCACAAAATTTTCCATAGTTGAAAGAAGATTAGAGATCTATCTATCTATCTATATATGGCAGCTTATGCAGCTTCAGTTTCTCTTATGACTCTTATGGAGCAGATCGAGAACCATCCTCGTTTTTCGATTTCTGTCGACAAGAACCAGATTGAATCTCTACGCGAGAAGATCGGTTTCTTGTTAAAATTCGTAGAGAATAATACTCGTGGAGTTATAAATAAAGAAGCACAAGTGCTGTTGAGCCAAATTTCATCTTCAGCCTATTCGGCTGAAGATGTAATCAAATCTCACGTTTTCGACCAAACTCACGCGATGGAAGATGCTAAAAGAAAGGTTATCAAGCGAAAAGATGGCTCGATTTCCTTGCTCGATCTCCAGACGGTAATAGAAGACATAGATTCCATCAAGAAAAGGGTTATGGAGTTTAAAGATGAAAGTGGAGCCAAAGATGATTTGCCGCTCACATACTCGGTGCCAGCTACTACTACTACTACTACTACTTCATCAACACCTCTTACGAGTATTACCGGAAAGAGCACGATGGTGGGATTTGAGATTGAGTTGCATGAACTGATGGACAGGCTCACCGGGCTGCAATCTAATTTGCAAATCATTCCAATCGTAGGCATGGGCGGCATTGGTAAGACTACTCTTGCCAAATATGCTTATGAAAATTCACTTATTACGCGACCTTTTTATATTCGTCGTTGGGTTACCGTATCCCAAAAATATGATGTCAGAGGGCTTCTTTTACAACTTTCTGAGCAAAGTAGTGAGATGATTAGTAAAACTGATGAGCAATTAGGCGATGAGTTATACACAAGGCTATGCGGTCGGAAGTATTTGGTTGTAATAGATGATCTTTGGAGTGAAGAGGCTTGGGAGAAGCTAAAACGTTTCTTTCCAAACGACAAAAATGGAAGTCGAATTGTTGTCACTACAAGGATATGGGATGTGGCTAACAACTTTGGCTCTTCGTGCCTTCGTGTGAATTTTCTAGATAAGGTTAAAAGTTGGGAACTATTTTGTGAAAAGGCATTTGGTAATCAAGTCGGTTGCCCTTCTAAGCTAGAGAATATCGGAAAGGATATTGTTAAAAAATGCAAAGGGCTTCCCCTTTCAATTTCTGTGATTGGTGGGCTTCTTGGAAGGTCGTCCCATATGACCCAAAAATATTGGAAAATTATTTCAAACGATATAATCTCCAATGTGAACCTCGATCAGAACGAGAATTGCTTGAGTATATTAAGTTTGAGTTACACTTACTTACCTCCTCATCTTAAACCATGTTTTCTTTTCATGGGATTTTTTTCGGAAGACGATGAGATTCATGTATCCACATTGATGAAACTTTGGGTGGCTGAAGGATTTATAAAGCCGAATAAAGCCCAAAGCTTGGAAGACATTGCAATAGGTCACTTCAATGACCTCATTGACATGAATCTCGTTTTGAGATATAGTTCTGGGGCAAATGGAAGAGTTGTTTATTGTAAGATCCATGATCTTTTGAGGGACTTGTGTATAAGGGTACGTCACAGTGAGAAGTTTATATGTATGATGAAAGACGTTCCAAAAGGCATACGTGTAGGAATCCTATCTAAACGTCACTTTGTACTTGATGAAAGAATTCCCCGGTTTATAATTCATTCCGACCGCTTGTTTTTTAAAGAACTTCCTTATTCATCAACATCCCTACTCTGGAATTTGCAAACACTAATTCATAATGGCATAATTAAAGCACCATCTGAAATTTGGGAGATGCGACAGCTTAGGCATCTAAATATCCGTAACCTATACCTTCCCCATCCTCCTGAGAGTTGTGAGCCACAAAAGAACGACATTGTTTTGCCAAATCTGCAGACACTTAAGAATGTAATGGACTTCAAGTGGAGTGAGGAGGTTTGTAAGAGACTCCCTAATGTGACGAAATTAAACTTCGAATATCGTACGAGCGACAGTAGTTCAGAGATATGTCTCTACAATATTTATCGCTTAGGTAGACTTGAATCACTTACCTGCACATCGTTTCATCTGGTTAAACTACTGCACAACCTCAAATTCCCAAGTTCGATCAAAAAGTTGACTTTAGAATATTGCAAGGTTCCTTGTCAAGATTTGACAATGATTGGTTCGCTGCCATGTCTTGAAATTCTAAAATTGAAAACTCATTCGATCGAAGGACGTGAGTGGAATCCTGTTGAGGGGGGATTCCTTCGCCTGAAATACCTCTTAATAGAAGATTGTGATCTGGTTGAATGGAGGGCTGAAAGTTCCCATTTTCCAGTGCTGCAGAAACTTGTGCTTCTAGATATGAATAAACTGAAGCAGATCCCGATCGAAATTGGAGAAATATCAACACTCCAGGTTCTCCATTTGAAATACTGTCGGTTGTCTGCGGTCGTTTCCGCATTAAGAATTGCGGAGGAACAAGAAAATGCGGGGAACGAGGGACTTCGGGTTCGAGTTGAGTTCAACGGAAGGCGACATGCAGAGAGATTCTGGAAAAATGTGGAACTATCAGAAGAAAGCTTCACAAGTAATATCTTTCAAGTGGTTTAGTCATATGGTTTTTTTTTTTTTTTTTTTTTTTGTAATGTCGTTTTTATATTTCGTTGATACATTCATGAGTTTACTTCTTCAATGTATATCGAAATTTGAGTACAGTGGAGCAATCAAGAAGTCGGGTGTGTGTGGGTGAGTCTTTGGTAAGAATCTTACTTGCAGAAACTGAATTGAGTTCATTTTATGATTGGACTAGTAACTGATGGATGAGGCAATTTGCTATAGTTCCTAGCTTCTAGCGGTATAAATTCAATTCATAAATTGCAATTTTCAGTATATATATATATGGATTATTTTGTAGAGTCCTCTCATTTCCAAATTATATAGAACTAACTACCAAGTGGATTACACTCTAGGGGAGACCCTACTCATTTCGAAAATAATTTGACATTCCCCCCTGGGCCACCCTGAAATACCTATAATATCCTTTTAAAATCAGTTTTAAACTATAGCCACTCACTCGGTCTCTCTCTTCTTCTCCCAGAATCAAAATCCCGCCTCCACAAAACTCCCACCGGCGAAATTGCTTCCCGGAGTCATAACTCTCTCTCCGGTGGTCGGAATTCGATGGTTTAACTACCGTTGGATTCCTCTCGTCGAGCTCTTTCTTTTGGTGGTGATTTCATTCAGTTTGGAGCGCAAATCTGTTTCTGCATTTTTTTTTCATTCGACGACGGTGGTCTTGCCGGAGGTGTATTTTGTGTTCCACCAGTCGAAATTTGACGGGCTACCCACCGTTAGATTCCTCTCGTCAAGATCTATATTTTGACGGCAATTTCGTTGTTTTTATGTTTTCAGATTTATTTCTATATTTTTTTGCATTTGTGGGCGCGCGGAACTGTGGGTGGTTATTAGCGGCGCCTAGGGTTTTGGTAGGAGGCGAGGGGGTGAGGAGTCACTATCTGTTTGATTTAAAATACGTAGCATTTCCCAACAATAATCTCTCTCTATCTCTCGATCTCTTAATTTTTGTTGATTTTTGAGTGTTTTGATGTTTCTTCAAATTTTGTTGATTTGCACTACAGTAATTTTTTTTTTGTTTTGATTTTGCAATTGCAGCTTAATGAAAGCCATTGATCCTCTCCTTAAAGGTGTCAAAAATTTGGTTGAAGTTACATGTGAAGCTGTGTTCAACAAACTGTATTACTATACATTACTATACATATAGTAATATGTAGTTACATATGCATATATTTGTGTATTTTCAATTTGTATTTTATTGGTTTTGAGGTGATTTATAATAAAAATATTGAAATTTGTAAATTTTGTTCGGGTTTATGAATTTCCTTTGTATAAGCCAGTATTCGTGTGTGTATACAATTGTTCGACTAAAAATATGGGGGAAAAAAACAAACATAACTACGAATGACTATAGGTACTATAATTACATGTAGTTATTTTCAGTCGTTGACTTACATGCAATGACTAATTTACCCTTTAAAAGGAAAAATGAAATTAAAAAAAAATGAAAAAGGAAAAGGAAAAAAAAAAGAAAACACAAGGGGCAGCAAAAAAATGAAAAAGAAGATGATAATTCTTCATTTAAGTCATCAAGAACACAGTTATCTTCTTTGATTTCTAATATTTTTCGGTATTAATGCCTCGCAACTCGTCGGAATCAAAGTGTTTCCGTTCAATTTGTCCAGAAAACACTTGTCCCCATCGAATCTACTTCGAACCAAACCCCCACCTTTAGAACTCGCCGGAAGATTTGGCCGGAGAACGTCTGCCCCCGTCGAACCTACCTTGGACCAGCCCACACCCTTAGATCTCGCCAGAAAAACCGTGGTTGAAGGACGCAAGGGCTAAAGATCCTCCATTATCGACGAATGCCGGAGGGCTGGGGTTCTTCAAGAACTTTGCGGCGGCAAAGAGAAATTGACGATGGAGGAGGAGATAATCATGAAGGCGAAGAGCGAATAACCTCTGCTATGGACAGTGTCACTGGCGAGAAGAGTGGAGAAGGTGGTTGGTGGAAGGAAAGGGGAGGCGGTGGAAGAAGAAATTTGGGGAAGAAGACGACGTATTCCTTCAGATTTTTTTTTTTACTTTATTCTTTTTGTTTGTTTTAAGAAATTTTGAAAATTGCAAATTGATCCAAAAATTTGAATTATTTATATTAAGCATCAATTAGATTTATCTTTATTTATAGAAGAACTTCCGAGGGTATTTTTGACTTTTCATGTCATAAAATAAACTCTCAGTCGCACAATCCGCGTGTTGATCACACAACATGTTTTCAGGGGCTTTTTTGGTTTGGACTAAATTTTATAGAGGGGTTTATGCTAATGGTTTTAACACAAGGGCCTTTTTAGCCATTTAAGATTACACAAGGGTAGTTTTTGCAAAAAAAAACCCATGTTAATAACCCCACAATTTTCTCCCAAATAATTATAGTAATTGCTGCTCATTCCCACCTATTATAGTAATTATCCACCGAATCTTCTTTACCGTACATTCTCCACCGTTTGCAGTTTGGCCAATTCTCGATTCCTTGTTTGCAACTTTTGTCTCCACTTTTTGTTTGTACTAGTAAGTGACACGTGCATTGCACGTGATTTATAATTTTTGTTAATTATTTATACATTTATTAATAATTTACTTCATTAAAATTAAGCTATATTATAAATAAATATTTAATAAATAAATATTTAATAAATAAGTGATATGATTTAGTATTATGTTAATGAAGATTTCTGATCATATTGATTTTGCTTGATCTTGATGTAGCGCAGTGCATAACAAAATCTTCGTATTCATTATTTAAAAACATTTAAAGATCAGTGTAACAATTATCATTATCCTTCTTCTTCATTTAATCCATTTTTGGTGACCTTTTTTTCTCTCGAAATTCTGGCATCATCACTTATTTAATCAAGTTGTAATATTTTCTTATGCGATTATTTTTTTATTATGATATTTTTTTTTCTTCAACACCGCTCTAAAGACTATTAAAAATAGAATCACTTATTGAGAAAATACAATTATAATTAAATTATTGAGAAAATTAGAAACTATCATAAAAAAATCATATAGATCGACACGGCATAATGCTAATATATAACCATTTTATGTATATATAAGCAGTGACATCTTATTAGGAAAAAAATAGAATTTTATTTTATATAAAATATTATTATAAACTTTTATAGTATTTTAAGAACTTTGGTATAAAGAAAATATCAAGAATAATACATAATTTAAGTTTTATCTCATCTATTTTGCAATATTTTCATCTAGGGGCACGGATTCTATTTGTTGAAAAACCTCTAAGGGCATTTTTTCTTTCTACCTTGAGTCAAAGCTTAAAATCAGATCAGACGGGGCAGTGAGTTTCTAAAAGGTTTACACAGGGGACCATGGGTGAATTTTTTTTACATGGGTATTTGACAATTCGGTATTTCAAAGGGGTGGTATTTGCAATTAACTCTTATTTTATTTGTAGTTTACAACTTGACCTTTCATTTTATTTGGTGTCATCTATGTAGCACCGACACGGAAATGACAATACGAGAAAACTGCGAAACGAACACAGGGAAACGACATGTTCCAGAAATGGGGACAAGGGAACTCGGGAAACATATATATATTAAAAATTATATGGGCATACTTATAAATATGCTGTATAAACAAATATAAGTTTATTTATATTTTTTTATATTTGTACACAAAAATATTCAACATAAATGTTATCATCAACTATCGATTTGCAATTAATTACCAAATCATGTAATTAATTAGGGAAGCAAAACGTATCCGAAAACGTTACGAAATTGAAGTTTACGTGCTACATAGGTTGTCATAGAGGCTAGTTCTTAAAAATATTGTCTAGAACATGGGTTTTTCCTTGTCTATTCTTGATCTCCAACGGGCTCATGCGGGTCGTTTTAGCCCGTATTTTTCGTTTGGATTACCCATACGAAAACCAGCATAATATCGTCCACAAGCAATAGTGGAAACCATTTGAACATAAACATTGCCAGCTCAAAAATTTACTTCCTAAATATCTACCATTGGCAAAACATGAACCTGTAATAAGAAATTACGAAATTTTGTTTATGATCAAATTCTGAAAATTAAAAAATGTAAAAAGGAACACCAATTGCAAGTACTGGTTGAGCTACATACGAACAAACAACCGTGGGCTAGCATCGTGGTTGTAGAGATGAAGAGAAACTTTTATTCCAGAATTCCCACATCCTACGGTGCCAACCTTTGTCCCATTGTAATTCTTGCTGGACTGGTAATCGCAGGCGCGGATCACTTATTTGACGAATTGTTAATATAATAATTACAATTCGGCAAAATCAAAAAAGTAAAGGTGTTAAGACAAAAGTTAAAAACAAATCTTATTTTAAATTTAGTTTAGTTTTCATGTGGTATCTCTTGGTGGATATAATTAATCCTATCTCTTTGATACTCTCTCATCCGTAGCTTGTGCACAACAGAGTTTGTGGTAGTGACTGTCCTTTTCTATCTCTCCTCTTTTATTATTCCGTGTGAAGATGCTAAATTGGTTGAATCTTTAAATGACTTCAATCCATGGTGGCCTATGAGATTCTTGTATATATTTGTTCAATGTGTGGGTGTTTTTCATAGAATATTAAATTTCAATTAAAGAATTGTAAGAAAAGTCCATTTTAATTTGGTTATAAAAACAATGACCCAAATGATTCATTATCATAGTTAATGTATATTATGTTGAGAAACTGGGAAATATTATACAAGAATAAGGGATCAATGTATAGGGAGAAGAGAGATATTATTGCATATATTCAAGCGTACAAAATACAATACATTGCACCTAATTTATAGGTGTAGAAAAGCTAGTCAAAGGTCATGAGTTACAAGACATTAATGATGAATAATGGTGGATGTAATGTGGGTTTAATGGAGAGTGTAATGGTGGTCATCCATAACCTCCAAGAATTCACAATACTCCTCCTTGGATGTCCACCATTTATGGAATATGCCTCGTTAAAACCTTGTTAGGAAACCTGATGGGACAAAACCTAAACGAAGGAAAAAGAGTACATATCCATCTGAAACTTGTGAGCGTGACACTGCCTCGTTAAAACCTTGCCAAGAAAAACCCAATGGGACAAAAACTTGGACGAAGGAAAAAGAGCACAGTGT